CGGCGGAAGGTAGGACGGAGAGGGCAGCTCTGTGCTCGGCCCCGCACGTTGCGTAGGTCGGAGGTCTGACATCTGAGCGAGGTTCCCCCCTCTGAGCGAGAGGACGTGGAGATCTGGGCTGTCGGGACACGAGGAGCTGTGCTTGAGTGCTCCTCTTGGCTCGGTCATCCCTGCAGAGATGCAAGATGAGAAGGAGCGAGGCGTTAGGTTTGGGTAGGGGAATGAGCGCTAGGGAGGTGGCAGCACCAAGGGGTGGGTTCGGGTCCTTTCTAGATGCTGTTCCTGTCCTCGCAGCAAGGGCTGCGTGTTCGGAGACAGCCGCTCCGTTTGGGCACCTTCTTCGGGGGGTTTGAACCTCCTTCCTCCGGTGGCCCCCGTGCTGCTTGGAGGGCACCCACAGCCCCTGCTCCCGGGCACATCGAGCGGCCAAGGACCGGGGCGCCTGCAGCCCCCCGCGGCTCCCAGTGCCCCTCGGCTCTGCCCGTGCCTGGGCTCCCTTTGCCCTGAGGTGGATTCAGGAGCTCTCCTGGGCCTCTCCGCTGGCACCAGCAGTGGATGCGGGGTGACAAACTTGTTAAAATTGCCGCGGCGCTTCCCAAAGGGATCGATCGCGCGCACGTGCTCTGCTCCCCTCCCATTCCCCCTTCCCCTCTCCTCCAGCAGCGCCGCTAACCCACCCCGGGTCTCCTGCAGCTTCCAGCGCTCTTTTCCTCCCGGGGAATCCCAGCGTCTCCCTCTTCCCCCGTCCCGGAGCGCAGCAGCCGTTGCCTGGTGCGAGGCCGGGGCTCGGGGCGACGGCCCAGGGCAGCCAGCGGCGCCGGGCTCTGCTCCTCTGCCCCGGGGTTTTCTTGCAGGGCTGGACTGCGGCGCAGAGGCTGCCCCAGCCGCTCTCTCTTCCCCCCTGCCCAGCTGCTCGAGCCGGGACGCGCCGGCGTCCCCGGGCGTCCCCCGCGGCGCCGAGGAGCCGCTCAACCTCTCGCACCCCGGCGCAGACGGCGGCTGCAGGACGGACGCCCTCTGCTCGCTTCCCACCTCCCCAGCAGCTCCGGCGGACGGGAAGATCGCAGGTGAACAGGAGGCTGCAGCCTGGCTCCTAGCGGCGTTGGGGTTGCATTGACTCTGCCCCCTTTCATTTATTCCCCACTTCAGTGAGTGCGTTTCTGCCTCAGTTTCCCCCCTGAGAAACGCTAGTTGTGCCAGGCAGTTTGAGCTCTGGCAATGAACGTGCTCCCTGGAGCTCCGGGCTCTTCTCCGTATTGCCAGGATGAGAGTCCTGTTGCTGCCCGGCCCTCACGGGGGGTTCGTGGTGGAGCGGGAGCTCCGTGCCGGTTCTCACGGCTCCTTCTGCGCTCAGACTGCAGGTTACTGTGGGACTACGTTTACCAGCTCCTCTCCGACAGCCGCTACGAGCCCTACATCAGGTGGGAAGACAAGGAAGCCAAAGTCTTCCGGATCCTCAATCCCAATGGACTTGCCCAGCTCTGGGGAAACCACAAGGTAAGTTCTGCTGAGACCGAGTTTGTCATTTCCAGGCTTTCAGAAGTCGCTTTTGTGTCCTCTGCTCACAACCTGCTCCGTTTGACACAGGGGCAGCTGCTGCGGAGAGGCCCAGCTGCTGCAGAGACCCAACCCAGGCGTTTATGCTTGGTTTACTGCCCCAAAAAGAAACCCCAACCAACCCTGGCTTCTTTTCTCCTTCCAGAATCGTGTAAACATGACATATGAAAAGATGTCACGAGCCCTCAGACATTACTACAAACTCAACATCATCAAAAAGGAGCCGGGGCAGAAGCTGTTGTTCAGGTAGGATGAAGCAGCGGTGGGCGACTGGCAGCCTCCAGATGTTGGCAGCTGCTTCATCTCGCTGGATCCCTGATGGTCCAGACCAGGGTCCCTGCTGTGTTTTGGGGGTGGAGAACGTGGCTGGTCCCGGTTGGATGGTGCTGTGAGGAACCTGGCACCACCAGCATGCGGGAATCCCACGGCACCTGAGCGCTGAAGTCGGCCCTCAGGTTAAAGCAAAGGGTCTGCGTCGGTTCTGGTTTTGCAAAACCTCCGTGTTTGCTTCTTTCCCTGGAAGTGCAACCCCCCAGCAGGTTTGTGCCCGCTCTCTCTCCTCTGCTCTGCACGAGCCAGGCACGTGGGATGCCTGGATGGGCTGCCCCACGCTGCAGGTTGGACATCCACCCCACGCGGAGCTCTTGTGGAGCCGGGCAGGGAATTCCTGTTTGTTCATTGCTTCTCCCACCATTTTCCATGCCGGATTCTTGCCTGGGCGTAGCTAAAGCTTCAAATGCCAGTGCCGGGCTCTGGGCTGAGGTGCGATGCCCTTGACCTCCCTGGGCTCGGTGCCTTCGGGGTGTAGAGCAAGAGCTGGGGTGCTCAGCCCGCGGCCGCAGGCACAGAGCGGCTTGAGCAGTTACAGGCGCTTGTGGGGCTGCGTTTGGCCAAGCAGCTCAAACCGTCCAAAAACGCCCTGCAGATTTCTGAAGACTCCTGGGGAAATCATCCACGAGAAACCCAGCAAGCTGGAGCAGCTGGAGAATGAGGAGCAGGAGGATTTCCAGGAAGACCCACTGGAAGTCTCACCGTAGGAGCTCTCCGAGGAGACCACCTGCAGCGCCCACAGATTTGGACTCCGCTGTGAAGGGCCGGAGCCTCCGGCTTTGCTGGCAGAAGGTCACAGAGCGGCGGCCGCAGATTCCCAAGTCCCGAGCAAAGACTGGGGCAGCTCTGGGGCTTGGTCAGCAAAACTCGCACACCAAAATCACCCTTCAAGCCAGCGAGCGAAGCGAATGGGCGGGTTGGGTTCTGCTTGTTTCTTTTCCCCCCTGAGCAAGGGAACGTGGTTTTTATTTTGCTTTCTTCACCTCGATGCTTGTGTGCAAGGTCCAAACTTGCTGGTCAAGGTGGCTCCATCCTTAAAGCCAAGGTGCCGGGCCGGGGGCTCCGGACACACACGCGGTGCCAATCCGGAGCGGTTGTTCTGGGCTGGGCTGACTCGGGGCCTCGGGCCTGATCATGGTGTGGACTCACCAGGCAGATCCCTGTGGAGCTGCAGGATTGAGGGTGGGAACCAGCTGAAATATCCTCTGCATTGGGCCTGGTTGGAGACGCGCGGCCCGCGGCTGCGGAGAGACCCAGAGCTGCTTTTAACTCCTTTCCCCGACGTGGTGCTTTGTGTAATTAGCTCCCTAGATAATAAGCACAAGGCATTAATGAACATGCCCACGCTCCCCGTCAGGGACGCCGTTATTTGCTCTGGGTGCCAACCTTGGCTCTCGGGCGGCGCGAAGGGGCACGTCTTGACTCGGATCCCCTTGGGCCCGGTTGGAGACGCGCGGCCCTCGGCTGCGGAGAGACCCAGAGCTGCTTTTAACTCCTTTCCCTCCACGTGGTGCTTTGTGTAATTAGCTCCTTAGATAATAAGCACAAGGCAGTAATGAACATGCCCACGCTCCCCATCAGGGACACCATCATTTGCCCTGGGTGCCAACTTTGGCTCTCGGGCCGCGGGAAGGGGCACGTCTTGACTCGGATCCCCCGGGCGAGCTGGTGAAATCCATGGAGCCGGGCTGCATTCCACAGCACAGGAGGATGCAGCACGTGTAATATTTGCCCTCAGCTTCCAAATACCCAAAGCAAGCTCCCCAGTGAGGCAAAATATAGGGTATTTGGGCAACTCATGGAAACAGCTGGCTTTTAACCTCAGGTATTGTTAGGAAGTGCTGGAAGGAAGATTTTTTTGTTTGTTTTTTAAACCTGAAAATATCCGTTAATATTTTTGATTACTTTTTGCTGAGGAAATAAAATTCTGCGACTGCACAGCTGAAAATGCCGCCTCTTGCTGGTTGGAAATCTGAAACGGAGCAACCCAAGCCTTCCTCGTTTGCGCCGAGAACGAGCCCTGCACAGAAACTCTCGTGTAACCAGCTCCAAATGAGCAGCCGGGTTCTTGTCCCCGCGCTGCTGCGCCTGGAAACCCGAGCGGGAGGGCGCAGGCTGCTCGGCAGCTATCGGGTGAAGGTGCCCACGCACCTGGTGCTTTATTGCCACGGGGAAAACCGGGCCCACGCAGCCAAAGCGGCGCCGTGTTTCCAGCCTGCTGGGAAACGGGCAGTTACTGCAGACCTTGGTTTGGCAGCAGCACAGAACTAATCCCGCTGGTTTCCATCCTGGCTCTTGGTGCTACCAAAATAGTTTATACCAATCACCTGGTTGTTCCAAAGAGGGTCATTCCTCCTCTCTTGTCTGTTGCCCTAAGTTCTCACTGTATTTCTTGGCTCAGAAATCGATCTGACTTTTCCAAAAGAGCAAAGTTCCCATTCGCATTGGAAAATCCCCTTTTGTGCTCCTGACGTGCTCCTTTGCCTGCCTTCCAGCACCTGAGGAGCTCAGTGGGTTCCCCGTGGTGGGAGGCGCAGGCCCTCGCTGCAGCTCCAGCACCAGCGTGTCCTGGCACAACGCAGCACTCGGAGGCTTCTCCAGAAACAGTTTCACTGGGAAGTTTCACTTCCAGAAAATCAGCAGCAAAACCCTTGTGTTTTGCTGATGGCTTTTTCTGGGTGGGAAATGTGTTTCTGGGGGATGGAAAACGGGTCCATACGCATCTATATGGTCCTATACAGGGTTTTTTTTGAGAGGAATATGGTTTTTTTTTTAGGAGCAAAATGTGTTTTTTCCTCCAAGTCAGAGGAAAATGAGGAGGCAGATGTGCTGAAAGGGGGTAAACGAACATAGTGCTCTGCCTTTGGGAGATGCTAGCAAGGAAGGGAGGCCAAAATCTCTGCTAGGAGAGGGGTGGTGGGTGCCAGGACCCACCAAAGCTGCAGCCGGTGCCAGGCCCAGCCTGCAGGTCACAGCAGGAGGGAGCCTGAGCTGCAGGATCCTTCCATGGAAGGTGCCTTTTGTCTTGGAAAAGATGAAAAGGAGATTTTTTGAACTGAGGGGCTGAAATCTAGTCCCATGTAGGCAAGTAGCGTAAGGCCTGCCCAGCCACAAGGACCAGCTTTGGAAGGAAAGGAGCCTCATTCCTTGGAAGTTGTCCCCGCTTGGCCCCGTGTCGCTCTTGGGTTACGCACACGTGGCTGCGTTTCACTCGGTTCTCTCCTAACGAGACATCCCACCTGCCTTCTTGACGTGGAAACACGCTCCAAGGCTCCCGAGCGGCCCAAGGCCCAGGAACTGCTCAGGTTGGCAGGGCTTGGGCCATGGCGAAAGCGGCCGGGGGGATCCCGGTGTGTGCGGACGCCACGTGCCGATCCACGTGGGATGCTGTTAGTTCACCTGTTTTTCCAGCAGTGACTAAGGATCATGCTGGACTTAAAGAGCGGGGATTTCCTGTCCCGCTTGGGAAGCTGCCAAATACGTTCAATCCTCACTGCAGCCACGGCTGAGGAGTGAGCCAGGCCGGAGGTTTCTTGGGGCGCAAGAAGCAAAGTTCACTTGTGCAATGATGCTCTGGGCTCTCTCCAGGACCCAGAAAGGGCTCCCAGGACACGTCTCGGTGCCTCCCATCGGCAGTGGGAGCCAGCAAATGGACGCAGCAGCACGGTAAACACGTTGCCTTCCTGGAACCAGGACCCGTCTCTTTCGGTAAACACGAGTAAGCGCCACGGGCACCGGGGCTGGTCGGCGTGGGCGTGCGGCGAGGAAGGGCACAAACAAGTTGGGGACTGAAGTCCAGGGCGGTGGAGCAGGAGCTCCACGTGAGCCTTCTCTGAGATCCACACACTTCATTCCTGAAAGTCTCTGTAGTTGCTTCAGAGGTGCCTGAAGCGGCCTGGCGCTGTCTAGACCAGGGTGTTGCAAACACAACACCCACTGGCGCCGCTACCTTGCATCACTCATCCCCTGAGGAAAGTGGGCTGAAATCAAACCTTGGGCTGCAGGAAAAGCGGGTTTGCTCTGGAGGCTGCTGCCCACAACCCTCTCGGAGGAGACACACTGCAGAAGTGGACCGAGCTGCCCACGGAGGTTGCTGGGCCCCGCAGGTCCCACAACCTTCTGTGCTGTCTACCCAAAGCTTGGCCCGTGGGGGAAACATCAGAGAATCATGATGGTTGGAAAAGACCATCAAGTCCAATCGTAAGAAGTGGCTGCCCCTCAACACCTGCATCTCGACTCCCATCTGACATTGCAGATCCTTCGGCTTTGGTGTTTCCCATTCACAGAATCACTTAAGTGTTGGCAGGAAGGAACCTTTCGTGCATCTACTTCACCTTCCCACTCAAAACAGGATTGTCACCAACACCACATCAGGCTGGCCAGGGCTCTGTCTTCAAAACCTCCAAGGACAGAGATCTCCACCTCTTTGGGGACTTTCTGAGGTCTGTTCCACCCTTCCACAGAGGAGGTTTTTCCTGACGTCCAACCTCAGCCTCCCACGCCGCAGCCTGTTGGCTGCCTTGTTTTCAAGAAATCTGGGGGATGGTTGACTTCAGGGTTCTGCTCATTTTAGCTCATAGTTCATGCAAGGCTCTTCCTTCCCCTTGTTTTTTCATTTTCTGGAACAAATTCCTGTAAACAAAGCGAGCTTCCCCCTATGCTGTGTCCTTGCATTTTCAGTTCTGCTTTTTCCTTCAAACAGCACTAAACTGAAGATATCAATCTCATATTTCTGTGCCCTCTCCACATGACTTTCTGCCTGCTAGTTTCCTCTTTCCCCCTGTGTTGATGAGAAAAGCAGACAGTTTTGGATTCAGATCTCAAAACCTTTCTCCCCAGCTCTGGCCCCGTGTGGGCATGGGATTTGGGGTTGGCTAAGGTCTTCTGCAAGCATTTTTTTTCTTATGTCTCTCATCCACTGAGCTTGAACATGCCAGAAGGGACCTGAATGAGTATGAAAGACTGGCTCCAGAATCACAATTTAGGGTAAGATTTATCCAGCAACCCCCTGCTAAGAACTGGATTTGCTTTGCTTAGCCTGTGGTCAGGCTGTGCCCAGAAAAACACTCTTACGAAGAGAAAAGGCCTGGAAAAGGCCCTAAGACAACAGTGATTCAAAGTGCAACCATGGGAAGGCTTCCGTAAACAGGGATGGGACTTGGGGTCATCCTCGGATCTCCAACACTGACATCTCCAAACTGGAGATGGCCGAGCTATGTCCCAGTGCCACAGCGGACATGCCCTGGTCAAAGTGGCCTTAAGCCAAAGTCCTCTTCGTTATACAGATTGGTGATGCAGAGAGAAAAACGAAATGGGCTGTGAGCCTCCTCACCCTCTGCATGCAGCCCTCTCATGAAGGGACATTGTCAAATGCTACTTAGCAGCGTGGAGCTCCCACCTGAGGGATGAAGTAAATATTTAGCAGCAGTGGATGAGGACACCAAAAAAAAAAAAAAAAAAAAAAAAACAGAGCTAGGCACACCCTAATCAATACCAGACACTGATTCATTAATATAGGGTAAGGAGAAGGAGAGTTAATAGGAAATTATGGCCCCAAAGTTTGTACAAATAGACCTAAAGAAAATAAATATGGGCTCATTTGGAAAAGATCATTTTTATCCAGGAAAAGATAATTTTTATCATTTATTATGATCAGCACATCATCCTAGGTGAAAAACACAGGAAACGAAGGGTCGGTTGCGCTGGCGTCTTGCCGTGTTTTCCCAACCCGGGCTGCTGCGGATTGCCCGGCACAGGCCCCGCTGCGGCCTCCTCATCCCCTCGCTGCCCTGGCAAGGTGCAGTGCCCGGTTTGGCCATGAGATGGCAAGATGGCCGGGAGGAGGGCAGAGAGCGGCCTGCGGCAGCGCCGCGCCAGGGTGATGTCCAGCGCAAGAAGCACCACGGATTCACTGGACTCATCTTGAAATGCGCACGGGTTGCCTCTGTGCTCCCTGGCAGTGGTTGGGGTGGTGTTTGAAGCCAGCAATGGGTTTCACGGGTAACGTTCCTGTTTACACTGCGCCCTGGAGCGATTTGTAGAATCATAGAATAGAATCACAGAATGCCTAAGGTTGGAAGGGACCTCTAGAGCTCATCTAGTCCAAACCCCTGCACACGCAGGGTCACCTAGAGGACGTGGCACAGGACTGCGTCCAAGCGGGTTTTGAAGATCTCCAGAGAAGGAGACTCCACAACCTCTCTGGGCAGCCTGTTCCAGGGCTCTGGCACCCTCACTGTCAAGAAATTTTTCCTTAAGTTCCTGTGGAACTTTTGGTGCTTCAGTTTGGGGCCATTTCCTCTAGTTCTGTCAGTGGCCACCAGTGAAAAGAGGCCGGTCCCATCCTCCTCACTGCCTCCCTTGAGGTACTTCTAGACACTGCTCAGGTCCCCTCTCAGCCTTCTCTTCTCCAGCTGAACAGGCCCAGCTCCCTCAGGCCCTGCAGCAGCCTCAGGCCTGGGGTTTCTTGGCGGCTCCAGGGGCCTGTGTGAGGAGACCTGGCTGCAGGATCTCAAGCTCCTTTCCTCGAGGAAGACGTGACTGCTCTGGTTTTCTCCCAGAAACCACCTGACAAAGCCCAGCCATGACAACACACCTGCGGAAAACACGCCAGCTGGCTCAGATAGCTGGTTTCATGGCTTAGATAGCTGGTTTCAAAGGGCAGCCGTGGCAGGAGGTGATATGGATGTCTTATGTTGTTTTGTTGCTATTTGTCATAAGGAAATTGTTTTCTCCTCCAGTGAAACTCACGCGCGCTTGACTTCCAGATATGGGTGATGTATCTTCCCGCCACGAGGGAGGAGATGGCGGAGACTCCACACGGAAGCGTCGCTCTCTCATGCCTGAATGGCTGCTAAAAATAGGAGTTACTCACCAAGCAACCGGTCTGGGATATAAAACACCAGCTCCCAGGAGAGCCTGAGCACTCTCCATTCTTGCGGTTAAGGAGTCCACCTTGACTTATGTCCGGACAGGCAGGATTACAAACGGAAAGGTAAATACAAAAGAGCAGATAAGAATGATGTGTGATCGCTGTGCTGGAATCAATCAAAGCAGAGGGGATTGTTGCTTTGCTGTGATGAAATCTAGTGGAATGATTTATTAATGGCAGTGTCCTGGGTTGTTGGGTGGTTTTGGAGTTGCCTTGGATGGGTACAACTTGACTTCTTGATCCCGAGAAAGACGGGATTGCGGTGGGTTGGGTGCATGTGTGCGCGGTAGTTGCCTTGGATGGGTACAACGTGCCTTCTTGATCCCAAGAAATCTCTTTGCCGAGGGATCCCGAGGGATCTTCTTGATCCCGAGAAAGACGGGATCGCGGTGGGTTGGGTGCATGTGTGCGCGGCAGCGACCTGGAGCGGCTGGCGTCGCTCCCGGCCTGCGGAGATTCCTCCCTTGCTCCCACGTCGCTTTCTCCAAGGAAGCTCCTGGTCCTGGCGAGCAGGGGTTGCTTGAACCCATTTCAGCAGCTGTGAGAAACCTGGAGTCCAGCCTTGGCTTGTCTAGAAAGGCTTTGATTTCAAAGCAGACCCTGCATTATCTGCACTAAACCCTTGCAAACCGGCTGGGTCCTGCACAGCCAGGAGGGACCAGCGTTGACCTTCCGGGACCCAATTTTGGGAGGCAGCTTTGGGGAGGTTTCCTTCTGAGACTTGTCCCCCTGCTCCGTAGTTTCACTCCCTCCATCAGGAGCGTCTATAGCCCAGTTTATAGCATCATAAAACCCTGTGCACATGGCTTAGATAAGGAGGGCTTAGATAACAATTGTAAAAGGGGTTGATCATTTACCAAGGACCGAAACAGTCGTGGACACCAGTGTTTGGGGTGAGTCTGAAACGCGGTTCTTTCCATCATGCCCAACCTGACCGAGCAGCGTGGCGAGGAAAGCGAAAACCCTAGTGAAAATGTTTTCCTCTGCAGGAAGGAACGGGCCATGGATGTGGATATGGCAGCGTGGGACCAGGGGAGGAGCCCATCGGGCAAGATCCTCTCACTGGACAGACAAGGGGCGAAAAAAGTGCTGGAAATCTATGTGAGGCGCTCGCTGAGCTGCTGCGAGAGCTCCCTGGCTGCCAAGAGGAGAGCTCAGGAGAGAGCCGGGGGGAAAAGGGCAGCCAAGCTGCAAAGGTCAAAAAGCGACTTCTGCAATTATTCATGCTCCAAAATCAGCCCGAGGAAAGACCAGGAGGAGGGACCCAACACATCAGATCTGGAAGAGGCTCTGGATAATACGAGCAAAGCGTCAGCTCCGGGGAGCTCCGCG